CATCATCCATTTTGTTTTTTTTTTTAATACAACACTGTACTGTACAGAGATGACGCTAATTTCCACGAGCTGTGCCTGCAAAGCTCCTTCCTCTACTCCTCCCATAGAGGAAGCAAGACTTGAAAAAACAAGTGTAGTCAACTCCAGTATCGTGTCCCCAGTTTGTTAACTTTCTTTAAAAAATCCTTTGTTTTCATCTCAGCTAAGGAAGCAATTCTACACTGATGCTTTTACAATTCAGTGTTTTCAAACACTCCCTGTGATCTCAGAGATCTGAAACTGTTATGCCTCGAGAAAGCTTTGCTTCCAGACGACCAAATTTTCTGCAATTTCGAAGAATTGGTAATCCACAAGATGTCCCCAGTGCTCAAAACAGAGCCATTTAAAATCACTAGACTCATTAGGAATGGCTAGAGCATCTTGTTGGCACTCCTTCGTTGCATCAATGTTAAATTTCATTAAAGGATATTAAAAGAACTTTGTCACACCTTCTCTTGGTAAGTGGTTACTGTCGGTCCTCACAGAAGGTGAAGGATTTGTACATTGTCTAGAACAGAGGAAGGGTCACAGAATCACAGAATCACTAAGGTTGGAAAGGACCTTCAAAATCATCAAGTCCAACTGTTAACCCAACACCACCATGCCCCTAAACCATGTCCTGAAGCGCCACATCCACACGTTTTTTGAACACTTCCAGAGATGGTGACTCCACCACCTCCCTGGGCAGCCTGTTCCAATGCTTGACCACCCTCTCGATGAAGAAATTTTTCCTAATATCCAATCTAAACCTCCCCTGGTGCAACTTGGGGTCATTTCCTCTCGTCCTATCACTAGTTAGTTGGGAGAAGAGACCAACACCCACCTCACCACAACCCCCTTTCAGGTAGTTGTAGAGAGTGATAAGGTCTCCCCTCAGCTTCCTCTTCTCCAGACTGAACAAGCCCAGTTCTCTCAGATGCTCCTGGGTATCTACAATATAGATGGGTGGGACCTGATAGTCACCCATCACTTGCTTACTCTTGCTTTTAGGGAGTGCAAGGACTACAACCTTTCTTGACGCTTCTTTCTAAGTCTTACTGCCTCTTAATTTAGCACAGTTCTGGCTTTCTGGGGTTTTAATAAAAATGGTCAATCAGTAATTTTACCTATGGTATCTTTGCATATTAAGAATACTTTTATCCTTGGTTGCCCTATTAAATAAGGACTGACCAGATGGACAATTATCTGTATTTCTCTCCTGGGCAGGTTACATCTAATTAAAAGCAGTTTCCTCCTCCTACTCCTACTGCACACTATACATATCATCCAGATGTCAGCACTGGTAATTTCAGCAAAGGCTCACCAAGATTTGGATAAAACTTGCTGTTGTTGTTTTGTGGTTTTTTCCCCCCAGGGCAGGCAGGAGCCAAAGTTCCAACTGAGCAAAATAAAATTAAAAGTAGATCATTTTTTTCTGTCTCAGTAGCACATGCTATGGTATATAATGTATGTTCCTTGCTTCACAAAGGAAATGAAGGTATGAACTTCTAGGACTGATGAAATAAAGATATCAAAGTATTACTTGCCCCAGCTGATATGTACACTTCACATATAATTACTATTTAATATCTTTGTTTCCTACCAACCAGAAAAAAAGCTTACCTTCTCTCCCAATTCCCTCTTCTTGTAAATAAGCTGATGCAGAATCTTCTAGATTTGCAGTTTTCACTTGACTTTCTTCTCGAATTTATTCTCTTCTTTGCAAAGTAATGTGGTCTACAAAATGAAGCTATTTAAAATCCTAAATGAATAAGTGTTATAAAAATAATAAATTAGTATACAAGACTGACTTGCACAAAACATATGTTATACTCTGAAATATATTTAGACAGGAGCGCATAATTGCCTGTTCCTTTTCTAATGGCCTGAAGCACAGCACTAAATCTGAACTTTTCCCAAAGTCTATGCGGCCACGGAGCGACGTCCCCTCCCTGGTTCCCAACAGAGTTCAGGTCCCCATCGCCTTTCACGTGCTGTCAGCAGGAGCGATGACCGGCTGCAGCAGCCTCGATAAATCTCGATCGACCCTGACCACGGGAACTAAATAGCAGCAAACGGCCGGCAGCGATGAAAAAGATGGCAGTGGAGGTGCCGGTCGGGGCAAAGGGCAGCAAGCCCAGGAGACCATACTGTGAGTGCTTCCAGTTCCCCATGGCGGGGAACATAGGTCCTGCCACACCAGCCTCCGACCTGAGCTCAAAACGTGTGTTAGTCCCTGTATCCCCTGCGTTTGGCTTCCTCGAGGGCTCAGTACTGGAGTAAGCCCAGGGACACTTCTGGCCTTTCCCAGCCTCCCCCGACCTGCAGCAGCGGTCCAGGAGCCCCACGTCAGCTCAGCCCATGGCCCTCAGCACCTCCCTGAGCTATGCTGCGGGAGAGTCGGTCTCCAGTCCTGCCTCCGCCTCCGGGATGGACCTCAGAGCTGGGCTGTTGGCAGCTATCTCCTGGATGGGTCCCTTGGACATGCCTTGTCCTGTGTCTCCAGCCCAGTCCTCTGCTGCTCATCCCCTCGCATCGCCTAGGGCTGTCAACAGACCAATTCCTGGTTGGTACCAGCAGCTGTCATAGGAGCAGTGAGAGGCGAGGCTGTGGGTCATGCTGGGGGTCCACAACCACAGGCAATAAGAATACAACTCACCTGAGTCACAGAGAAGTTGATAAAGATGACCAGTCACTCTGCAACATTGAGCCTTCTGCTTATTCCTCAAAAAAACCCCACTCCAAACCCAGAATCATCTCTATTTGAATGTGTTTACAGTTCTGTTACTTTTACATTTTTTCTTCCCCCCCCGCCAAATTACAGATTTCAACAGAAAAAAATGCTTAAATTACTTTCCAATCCAGTTTCTCCCAAAACATTGGCTGCCTTGGAGTTGCACAGTATTTCACATCAGTGTGTTTGTAATGTTCATAGAAAAGGGAAATGGCTGTCTTCAACTTTTCAGGAAGCCGAACCTCTCCCTCACCAAACGGAGCCTGTTCCCTCTGAAGCAAAGTAACCAGCAGCAGCCCATGTGCACATCAAAATGAAGGGGCATGTCAACAGAAATACAAACAATTCTTCCTGGAAAGTTCATTAATCGACACGTAGCTCCCACGGAAACAGTGAGGTTGTTCTCAGAGGTACTCGCATTAAATAGTAAGGTGGACCTAACCTAGGCTGGCTGGACCTTCATTAATTTTAAGGAACTACGCAGAGTCCTTCACCTAGAAACTAAAGCACCTCCAAAAACCAGCTTCTACCTTCACCCTAAATGTCCAAAAGACAACCAACAACAAAAAAAGTGTACTTTGCAAGTGAGGTGAACCTTTCTGTTACGAAAGTATTGAAGCACACTCTTAACATTTGTACGGCTAGAGATAAACAGCGGCGAAATCCAGAGTGCGGCTGCTGGGAGGGCATGGCCGAGGGTCCGCCTGGCAAGCGCCTGCTGGGAGCTGACTTCATATGGCGGGCTCTGTATTTCTGAAAGCTCAGCCGCGGAATTCTCCTCTAAATACACAAACAGGCACTGGATTTTCCCTTCGAGAAACTGGCAGTGAAATCAGAAGGAAAACCCATGGCAAAAAAGGCCACTTTCCAGGAAAACAAACGCGTGAAAGTATAGTCACATGTCGGCCTCATTTTCTGTGTTGAGACCTAAACCAGAAAAAGGCTGAGAGCCTTGGATAAACTACATCCTAGGAAATTAAGGCCTATTTTTAGTACTGAGCACTGCATATAGGATTTTGCTTTCTGTATACGTTGTTTCTCCAGTATTTTTTTTTCCTACTCAGCTCTCCTATCTGTCCAAGGTGTTTTGTAGAGCACTAGTGATTCAGGTGGTTTAACCAGACAAATGAACTGAGTTATTATCTTTACGAAGCACAGATCTCTTTGTAATAAATGTACCTTGTAGCTTGATTTACAGCAAAATCCTCCTCCTCTTACTTCCCTGATGAGACCTACTTAAGTCAGTGAGACTAGTCATGACGATAAGATAATTAAGTTTTTAGTACAACTCTGGTTAGTGAGCAGAATGCAGTTCTGAAATAATGAATCTAGTAGTTCCAGTCATATTCAAAAGGTGTTGATGATTTCAGTATTATTCTTAATGTGCTCTAAGAAAAGTACTTTTCACATTAAAGCTGTAAACCCTGTATAGGACACAATTCAAATCACCACTTAGATTAAAGAATTGTTTTTAGAATGGCAAAGTTGAAGTTCAGCCAGCACAGCAGTGACGCCTGCAAACTGACAGTCAATCCCCTCTACGTTAAAATGGAAAGATTTGCATGAGTGTGTTTTAAAATGACAGGAGACAGGAATGGGAGCTTCTAAGCAAGTTAGACTAAAATTTTAAGAGTGAAATGCCTAAAAATAGGCCCCTGAATGCATAGTTAGGCACCTATATAGAGGCTGCTTGATTTTCAGTTGTTCTGATCACCCAGAGCTCCCATTAACTTCAGGAGCAACTGTGGATACTCAGCTGTTCTAGAAATCAAGCCACCTTTATTCAAGGGTCTAAATATGGATGTCTGTGCCCAAGTTTGGGGGAAAAAAATACAAAAAAAAAGGGTTTTTTTTGCTACGGAGACATTTTATAAAAGAAAGTAATAGCCAAGTTTCATTTTCTGAGGTTACAATGCTGGAAAATGAATCAACATAACAATTAATAGTACAACACATCTGTGGCAGAAGATTTTGTCTGAGGTGAAGGGAAAGCTATTCCAAGATCTGTAGCTTTTAATTAGCAATCTGAAACATTCCATAGATATTTAATATTCTGTGACTGCAAAGAGTTACCAGGCCACCTAAATCTTTTTCATGGTATTTCAGTGTTGCCATTAATAAGCTTTTCAGGCTGGTCTGAGGAAGACTTGGCAAGATTAACTTTGCAAATCTGTAAGTATTAACTATTTAACTATTTCAGAATTACCATTTTTTCTGCTTTTGGATCAAGTACAACCAGCAGACTTGAGCATATTTTTAAATACTATAAAATATGAAGAAGGGAGAATTAGGCCTTTAATTCCATCATATGTGCTTGGTTGTCAGAAGACTTCTGAATGCTGTTTGCTTAAAGATCTCTTTTGTAAAAGTAATCCTGAGTTGATTTTTTGTCTAAGCCATTGCCAGGTCATGCTGAAGTGCATAAGAGCCAGTCACATGATAGAAAATCTGCAAGGAAAAAGAAAATTTATGATGGAATTATATATGACTATAAATCTGAAAATGTCAAGGAAGTAACAAATTAAAGCATGCCAGATGAAGATGATGAATATTTGTTTGTGTGTGTGCATAAAATATGATGTAATATACCTTTACATACTTGCTTATTGGATCTGAACTAAGGGCTTTTGCTGCTTTGCTTGGAAAAAAAGAAAAAAAGCAAAGACTCTTGTTGCTTTTAACTGAGCTTTCAAAAAGAGCCAGGTAGAAGAAAATGCTTTACTCTCACTGTAATCTGATTTTGATGATTTCAGTATTATTTGCTAATATTCAAAGTATCCAGAATTGCTTATGGTTTTATATGACTCATTTCAAACTATTCTTTTAACTGTACTGTCTTGGGGGTGGGGGATTGTTCTCCCCATTTTCCATGTTTGATTCTTTCTTTTTAAATACCTGTTTGTTTTATTGAATATAACAGTTGGGACATTTTATCTCACATGTTTTTCGACGGCACAGTATAGCAGAGTTTTGCTCATGACTGGGACCCTTGTGCAATCCCACGCAGATAAAAGGATGCCAGCCTTAAGAAATGGGAACAAATCATGCGACACAATCACTGGCTGTGTTGTGAGACTCAGCAGTGATGGCAGTGGCAACAAGAAATCTCGTGCTGCTTTATCATAACCAGGGACATGATTTTAGGTCAAGAGTGAGGCAGAGGCAGTCTGGCAGTGAAGCAAGCCAATATTATTCTCATTGCAGGAGGGAGCCAGGGGTTTTCAACAGTCATGACTATTCACCTGACATCTCTCAGCTGTTCTGTATTTCATCTTATGTTCTCCCACCAGCAGCAACAGCACAAGGACTCTCAAATTTTTTTTCTTGGTTAAGGCTAATGTCACCTCAGCTCCTGGGTTTAATGAACACGGGAGTGAAGCTCAGCAGCCCTAATGGTTTAGTAGTTCCTGTGACACTACACCGTTCTCAACTCTGCTGTATCCTTTGGGGTTGCTCCCCTGCACCAGTGAGGTAAGTTGTGGGTAGATAGGTCAGAACCCTTCTTCCCACCAGGAATACACATTGCCACTGAACCTCACACACTATTTGTCTGCCAGGAAACACAGTGACCAGCCTGCACAAAAATAAAAGCAATTAGAAAAAGGAGGCTTTGTAGGAGGTAATTGCTTTTCTTCCCCAGGAAATAATCAATATGTAAAAACTTCTCTATCAGCAGTACCATATGCAGGATGAGACACGCCTTTCTCCACAGCATGGAAATATATCGTGAACAGTTGCGGCACAGTGACACAAGGGGTCTGTGAGGGTCAAGTGAACTGGCAACAAATAAGAGTGCAGGGGAGTGGACTACCATGCATTCGCAAAAGACCCTCTATACGTACAGCCTGAGCCGGTTTGCTCACTGGGTTGCAAACCTGGCCCAGGCAATTGCCAGCTGATGGAATACCAGAGTTCCAGATGCCAAATGACAGGCCAAATTTAAAGAAATACTAGGCTGGAAGTGAACCTGTTGTTAATAATGAATCAGATGTATGTTCTGTTATCTTTTAAACAGCATCAAAAAGCATATTCTGCAGAATCAGTAAGTCAGCACATTTAGAAAGTTAATCTTTTCTCCCCACCGAGCCGACAACTGTTAACAACGAACCTGTTTCTCAATGTCTTCCAACAAACTACTGGCACCCAGGCGGAAGAGCTCTGGTGTTAGCCATTCCACTCCCAGTTCCTCCTTCACCAGCATAAGCCAAGTAATAGCTTCTCTTGCTGTCCGAATGCCCCCAGCAGGTTTAAATCCAACCTTTATATAGAAAAAGAAGCGCAATACACATTTCCATCCATCAGCAACCCTAGAAGAGCAATCAGCATTAGCACACCTGCAGTCTCAAATTGCCTGTGGTGTATGGAACAATCTACTCTGGTTCGTACCTGACTGCAAACAGTATAAACTCTGGGCTAGTGCTGAGAGCTGTCAAACCTCAGGCATCGCTGCAAAAGACATTTTCATCCTGAGGGACAGCAAGTGAGGGAGTAATACTTTTGACAGCAGTGCACTTGCTCAGGAGCTGGGTTTGAGGTCCAGCAGGAGTTCTGCCCTTAGTACATATTAAGCCAAGGGATTTAGGCAGGCCTGGGATACCTGCATATCACCTACTGCTCCTGTCGCAATCTAATTCCAAATACCTAACAACAAATACACATGCGATAACACAACAGCAAAGATGCTGAAATAAAGCACATGATGCATCTGACTCGTGGAGACCAATGAGAGATGGCTGTGCTTTACAAAAGCCTGCGCACCACAGTTATACATGATGGGGCTGAACATTCAAACCTATCAGAGGTTTACTTTTCACTAAAGTTTTCCAAATGGGAGTTAAATTAGGCCTGTCGTTACCAAAAATTGGAAATGCTGTGCTTCACAAGAACCACAAAACTTCTCTCCCAACACATGCTGGATATGCTTTCAGTCACTTGATGTGAGATATGTGTCATATTTGGTCGGGTAAACTGCCAAGTCTGTAGAGGCACACACGTCAGGAAAAACCTACCTTTGAGGTAAAGCATGTCTTGAATTCCATGATCAACCTGCAGTGCAGAGCCAGGACTGAGGTGACTTGGCATGCACCCCCAGTGCCAGTCTTTCATTTATGTGCCATTTAAATGCATCTTATTCTGAGACAGAGCTTGGGACACACAGCTATCAAATCCCTCATCAAAAATTTTGTCACCTGCATTAGCCAAAACGTTGGCCAGCAGCAGCTTACTAAACTCTTAAAAAACAAGGAGAATTAGGAAAACCTGTTTCTGCATTTAAAAAAAAAATCTGAACAATCTGTACAGCGATTCCTTCTACATTTCCCTCTGCCATAAACCTTTACCTTGGGTACTCCTTCCCATCAGCCTCCTTCAGTAAGAATTATCATTCTGATTTCTGTATATACATTCCTGAACCCTCACTGCATTAAGGATTTCTTGTACCTTATGGATATAATAGTGGAATCAAAAAGTATCTGTTTTGAAATGTTTGGTAATTTTTTTTAGAGAGATTTCAGGACTAACAAACACAGAATAAATCCTTCTGCCACACTGAAGCATTCTGATAACAGCATATTTCCAGTAAGATTATAAAGAACAATAACAGGAAAAAGCTTGATAAATCCAAAACACGAAGACTGTGTTTTTGTGGATGGATGGATGGATGGATGAATGAGCGTATGCATACATCTGTTAACATTAGATTTCCAAAAGGAATTTAAACTAGAGCAACTGGAAAACCATCTTCTAGACAATACATTAAAATAATGAGAATGTGTTTTCCCTCAGGAAGAGAAATTCTAATCAAATTAAAATTTAGATTTCTTCCTAGAAATATTATAACTCTGAGAAAATCTGTGTCAAAACTGAATAAAATTTAGTTAATTTTAATAAAGTTAATAACAGAATTAAAAACACCATGCAGAATTCCTTGTTCTTTTAGCAAATTCTGAAAGCTCTTCTCTTTGCAAAAAAAGTTAACAAAGCCAAGCCTGTCCTCTCCTCCATTTACCAGCTTTCAGAATGGCACATCTGACTGCCATAAAAACAGAAAAAGGAAAGGGGCGGGAGGGTTAAATCAAGAGCATTACAAAGTCCAGCTACCACTTTCCTGCTATTTCACAGCATTTCATTATTTTGCTTAATAAGTTCATCTCCTCGAGAATTTTCTCTTCACCTTATATTATTAAAAGTAATAAGTTTTTCTGGATTGGGAGTTTTCCCAACAGAAAAACCAATTTATGTATGTCCTTCAATAATGACAGGAGAAGATTATTTCCCATTATATTGCACACTTTTCATATCACCACCACAGCTTATCATTCAATAAATGTTACTCTGCAACTTGTTCCTTTCCTCGAAGAAGTTTAATTTCTGTATTAACCTGTTTTTCCCAGCCAACGCCTTGCTAGAAAGCACCCCTACAGCAGCAAAATTAGTTTGTTAAAGAAACCATTTAGAAATCTCTTGTCACTGATAATATTGTCTTCAGTTAAGAAAAGCACATAGACAGTTTACATCTAATTCACTGACACACACACGCACACAGACATAGGCACTCATTCTTAATAACACATTTTATATCAAGAATGCATCCTCTTAAAGCAAAAGGTGAATTCAACGTTTATATCCAATTATTGGTACAAAGCTGTGTTAATGCAACAGAGCCCAAGCTCTGGCACGCGGCTCATGCAAGCAGCACCGGTGCTGAGGTGAGTGACCTGGCCCCAGGGATCTGCTCCAGGTTGGCAGCAGTGAGGTTGCTGCCGCAGAAGCACGGCTGTCGGAGCTGCTAGAGTTGTTGCGTGGCAGAGAGAGACGCAGGCTGGGGAAGGGAGAAGGGAGGACAGCCCAAGGATCCACGTTGGCCTCGTCTAGATGACTATGGAGAGCAGACAGACACACGTCTAACCTGCTGTCATGCACTCCTCAAGCTCCAACAGCCACTGAAGCCATCTCAGCCCCTATCCCACTGCTCGCCCCGTGTCCTAACGTCACACTTCAAAAGGCCACCTGCAGAAGGGACAAAAGTGAGCTGGAGAGGATGGAAAGGTGACCCAGAAACAGAGAGAGAATCTTAGCTAAAGACACAGGCTCCCTGAGGCTGCAGGTGAGGACAAAACCCACTGCCAAACACCAGCACCAGATCTAACTGGCAGCACCCGCTTGCCTTTGGCTAAAGGAGGCAAGAGGTGGCTTAAGCCTTCCTGGATAACCTCCTCCGTTCTCACTGCTCCAGTGCAAGGATGAACGCACAGAGAGTTCTTCACTGGCTCTGTCGTATGCTCCCTACTGCTCTTCGCCTCCACTGACCTCACTTGACAGTGACCTGACAGATAAATAGTGTGTCCCAGGATATAGCGTTCTTCTGGGCCCCATCCCTCCCTCCCTCCATCCCAGACAACAGGATCCAACTGGATCTGCCTTCTTGTCCCCTTGGAAAGTCCTCCTGGCACGGGAGGAAAGAGCAGAATTTATCCCTTGGGTTGCCAGAACAAAGTCAAAAAATACAGGTGTGTACATTGGATAAACTCTCAATGGCTATAAAGTTGTATAGTTCCACGAAGGTTTATGGGAGTATTCCAATCACTGTCAGCTTGAGATTTGCCCGGCTATTAACTGAGATAACCATTTAAATACCTTAAATGGTGAAACAAAACTCAAAACCAAATGCAGCAGGGGAGGCGTCAAGATCACATGAGCTTGTAGGGAATAAAGTGACAGTTATTCAAGGGATGAAAGTAAAAAATGTTTGCTTTTTTTGTTGTTGTTGTTTGTATTTTTATGTATACAATTATTAGCAAATCAAGCAAGGAGTACAAGAGAGAAGTTCCATTACCTATTGCTCATATAGCCACAGAAGGTAATGTATGTGGATTTATATGTTCTGCATTTTGAAACTATTACAGTCTTATTTCTTTCTGAGTGATCCTGTTTGGTTAATTTTTATAAAGGTAGTGAGAATTACCTTGTTGCCAGTTTGCCAGTAGAATTCTCTAATGGCTCGCATCATGACTACTCCGACCGGAAAGGTTGCGTTTTCCACTTCCTTTCCTGTAGACGTCTTTATAAAATCAGAACCTGAAAGGAAGTAAAAAGCTTTACGGTAGTTTTAGAAGAAGAGACACTCTGCACATCTATAGTTCGTGCCCTCCAAGGATGTCTTCATGCTTCATAGCAATTATGAAGCATTCCTTTACATGTATGTCCCTGTGGTGTTGGTGCTGACCTTGCTCTGGTCAAGGCTAGAGCAGGAGGGTGAGATACCCATCCAGTTTCAGAGCAAGTCAGACATCCCAGGAGCTAAATGAGCACCCCAGCTCTTAATTCTTTGCTCTAGCTATCAGACCAACAATCTCCTCTGGAGAGTCCTATATATGTTCCTGTATGGACACTCAATATATGTGTATAAATACATTAATAGGAATGTGTCTGACTAGCCACAACAACAGAAATTACTTCCTCTGAACAAATGTTGCTTATTTATCAACATTTTAGTATTTCCACAAGGATCCTTCTGAATAAAAACAATTTTCATCAGTTTTTTTTAATTTAACTTTGTATCCATTTAGGCTCACATTTGACAGTCTAGTATTGTATTTCCCACAGCTGTCTAAAGTGAAAGGAAAGAAATCCCAAATGTATCTACAAAACCAGCTGTGTAATACTGGGGGAAAAACTCCCTTCTTATGCATTTTGCAATTGTAACATTGCAAATTATTATACTTAAAGCCATGGTCTGATATAATGCAGTATCAAGCTCAAAACATCTGCGTTATTTAAAGAAAGAGAGTTAGCCTTGTCTTATTTTTTTCTGGTTTCTCACTTGTAAATAATATTCTTCACCGCCTATCCTGAATACTTGCGTAGTGTTCTTGCGCATTCTTGCTCTTCTGGGTTCACTTAAAACGAATCCCGCAGCACAATATAACAAAAAGCTAAGAAACTAACCAAAAAAATTTGCCTTGCAGTGTCTGATCCTGCATTAACAACGTACAATGACAAAACTTACTTAATTGCATTAGGGCGCACTTCATCCCTGGGAACCTACTTCTTAGAAAAGGTGTACTGTGGGATCATTAATTATCAAACGTAATTGGGAGAAGAAGAGGGATAATTCAAACATCGTGTAATAGTGCATCATCCACTTAAGTCAATTGGAACTGCATCTGCTTCCACTTCAAATTTGGCTTAGGGTCCATTTTGTCTCTCACTTGAATGACGATGCCTCTACAACATCCCCTAGAGCAAGCAAGGGAAGTTTCACCGCTGGCTCAAACTGAAGAGTTGCCTAGACTACATTTTGACGGTGTGCTGCGGCACGCTCCAGAGACCCGCCTTCCTGATGAAGGTTGGCACACAGCTAGGTCTCAGCCTGAAGGGAAGTTAAGACAAAGCCAGGCATGTTTCTGCATCCTGTAATTTAAACATAATCGAACGGTATCACTAACACTGTGCCTTGTAAGACCACAGCTTTCTCTGTAGGCTTCCTGTCTAGGCACTAACTGAGCCCATTTGTGATTAAATTGCACCATCCTATGACAATTCCCATTCTAAACAGAAACAGTTATTCAGGAAAAAAAGTTCCAACTCCAGAGAAGGTGCAATGTGAAAAAGAGGCAATTAATAGTTGATTGAGCTTTGCAAAGAATGGAGTACATATACGAGACAATTGAGTTACATATTTCAGAGCTACTCCCTTCCAGAGAGACACTATGGACATCCGATAGTCACATTAAAACAAATAGCAGCGGAAGTGAAACTTCAACATTGCCAAATTATATTTTTAATTTCCCTTTTGAAATGCAGCACTTAAAGTCCTTCAGCGCAACACTTCTCATTTTTTCTAGTATAAGGTAAGTCAAAGCTTTTATAAGTCTTATAATTACAAGTCTCTATGGTACAGTTTCATTAAAAACTTTCATTAAACAACAGCTGCCCTTGTATATGGTCTTCTAATCAATTTGGTCAAACAGAATGACTTCTAATCAGCTGTTGATAAAAATAGAAGATGAAATTTTAATTCTAATAGATTAACCACAAACTCAAGATAGTCTTCAAAATCCATCTAGCTCTATTCTCCAGTGGATTTAACGACTATTCAGCAACTCATTACTAAATAGAACAAGATGAACATTTTCCAGTTCATTAAAGAAATGTACTATGTATTTTTGCATTGTCCTCATGATTCGTTACAGGGAGTCTTAATTACAAGATAATGGATAATGGTTATTAAATGCAGACTCCAGTAATGAAGCTCTATTCATTTGTGAGCCTCAGAGACTGCAAAGAGGGGAAAATAAAATTACTAGCTTCAAAAGATTAACGGATCAAATTATTATTCAATTTTGAAAATCTCATTCAGACTTCATAGAAACAAGAAGAGATTAAAAACTAGTATTAGTACAAAAGTAGTGCATTTATATATTTATTTTTAAATAATATCTTAAGGCTATTACCAGAATAATCAGCTTTAGATGTGATTATTAGACAAACATACAGCCAATTTAGTAGCATCCTCTAACAATAAAAACAATACATTTTTATTTCCTGAACAAATTCTATTTATGACACAAGAGCTTGCTAGCAGGATTGCATGCAGCCTCCCGCCGAAGAAGAAGATGCACGCTAGCAGAGAGCACCACAACGGAAGGTACTATTAACGTTTGGATTTCAGGAATGAAAAGGGAGATTTAAAAATCAAGCGCTGCCATAAAAAGCACCTCATTAAGTAGACTTTATGCCAACCTTGTAATAATAAGGGAGTTTCACCAAGTCTATTTCTTATTCACGTTTTGAAAATAGAGTCGAAGAAATGAAGTTCATTTTTTTTGCAGGAGTATAATCTGGAAATTTAGGTGATGATTTAGGAACTTAGATATACCATCCATAGTCCCATCTTCTTATGAACGTATGCACTCCAAAAAATCAGGGCTAGTGTTGAATACATCCTGGGTGGCTTTCCCCTTCCTTAGGGTAGGTTACACAATTCAATGAAACATTAAGTCAAACACTTAAAAAAATGAGTTTGTCAGGGTAGATGTCTAGGCCCAGTGAGCCTGAAGAAGGCCACACTACTCTTTTCCGACGTGTAACCACAACAGTACCTTGCCTTTCAAGGCAGCGAGTCCTGGAAGACTCACTGAGTCAGTACAGAGTGGAGACACCACAGACTTTTTGAAAGACAGCAGCATTAGAAGCCTCTTTCAGGTGGGCTTGCTGCCAGCCTAGTCACCCGCCAAGGCCTAGCAAGCACAAACTGCATCATCTTACTTCAAACAGAGGTGGAAAGCTGAATAAACCCTAAGAAATGTGAACAGTGCCGCAGCCCGTCGAGAGCAAACGCGCCCTCGGCGCCGCTGGGAGCCCGAGCGCTGGGGCCGCAGCCACACGCCTTGCGCAATCAGGAGGAGTACTTTAAGAGACTAAATCCCCCCTTCCCTTGCCCTCTCGCCCCCCACACACACACAGCCGCAGCCACTGCACCACACCAAGGACGACTCGAAGTAAGCCAGCTGCATGTGCACATGCTAAAAAGAAAAGCGGCGTCTTCATAGCGTGTTGCCCGAGTCCATACCTAGAAGTTAAGATCAAGTCCATTAAATCACTTCCTTTCTAGATACTCACGCAGCCCTATTTACTGCGGCGCCTGAGCAGAGGTGTAGAGCTGAGGCACGCAGAAGCTGAGTGACTTGCCCAAAGGCTCAGCAAGCCTTTAGCAGGGCAGGAACTGAATGTTGTGGTCTCCTGAAGGGCAGAAGAGCTGCCATGACTGGCCCACCCTATTGTTTCCCCCCACATCATCTCGAAACGCTACAAAGCTTCCCAGTCCATTTAACATTGAAGCAGCACATGAGAACTGGAGAACCTTATTTAGATGATAGCATCCAGGAAACACACTCTGGTTCCATAATTAAGTAATAAGGTACAATAATCAGTATAGCAACCGTGGAGTAATCACAACCTTTTAGTAGCAAACTGCTTCAAATGCCCTTGGGGAATGATCATGTCCTGATAACTACAGACTCTGTTGTTGCCTTACTCTTAATAAAGAACAAAGGTGCATCTGGCAGTTTTAAGAATAGTTTAGAGAGAGATGCTTGCAGAGGGACGATTACGCCATGCTACTTTGTAAGTACTTGCAATGAGCACAAATATATCTTGGTTGCTGCAAGTCAGATATAACAATATGTGGCAACACAGGACGAATACATACCCTTACAAGACTTCTAGGACTGGTGGCAAATAAAGGCATGCTGCTGAGGGGACCTGCATAAGCCCCTGCTGTTTGTGCTCACAAGGTAGCAATGATAAAATAGTATATTATCAAGTGTGCACAAAGTTCCATGAGCAAGTCATCTTTCTATTTTATGAGTACCTAAAACAAGGGTCTTAAGATTCACATACAATTAGTCTGACTAGAGGTGGCCAGGCCATCAACCCTCTGAAAATGAAAGGCGCGGCAAGATCATAGAATCATAGAATACCAGGTTGGAAGGGACCTCAAGGATCATCTGGTCCAACCTTTCTTGGCAAAAGCACGCTCTAGACAAGATGGCCCAGCACCCTGTCCCTGTCTTAAAAGTGTCCAACGTTGGGGAATCCACCACTTCCCTGGGGAGATTATTCCATTGGCTGATTGTTCTCATTATGAGCAATTTTTCTCTTGTGTCCAACTGGAAACTCCCCAGGAGTAGCTTGTATCCATTATCCCTCATCTTTTCCATGTGACTGCTTGTAAAAAGGGAGTCTCCATCTTCTTTGTAGCCACCCTTTAAATACTGGAACATGGTGATAAGGTCTCGCGTAAGCCTGCTTTTCTCAAGGCTGAACAAACCCAGTTCTCTCAGCCTTTCCTCATACGGCAGGCTTCCCAGTCCTTTGATCATCTTTGGGCCTTTCTCTGGATCCCCTCCAGCCTGCCCACAACTGTTTTGCATAGCGGGGACCAAAACTGAACACAGTATTCCAGGTGTGGCTTGACAAGTGCTGAGTAGAGTGGGATAACAACTTCTTTATCTCTGCTGGTGATGTGTTTGTTGATGCAACCCAGCATCATGTTGGCTTTCTTTGCTGCAGCA